AGGTTGTGGGTTCAATTCCAGAGTGGGAATTTTAGATTTTAAAATTTTATTACTTTTTGGGTAAATTAAAACATTATAGTTAATTTTGTAACCTTTAAAAATGTGAAATTACACTTAGTCCAATGGTATGGACTACTGACTCTGAAGGTTGTGGGTTCAAATCCAGGGTGGAAATTTTAGATTTTAAAATTTTATGTTTTTTAGGGTAAATTTTAATTTTATAGTTAATTTCGTAACCACAAAAAAGTGTGGAATTATGCTTAGGCCAATGGTATGGACTGCTGACTCTAAATCTGAAGGTTGCGGGTTCAAATCCAGGTTGGAAATTTTAGATTTTATTTATTTTTGGGTAAATTGAAACTTCATAGTTAATATCGTAACACTTAAAAATTGTGAAATTACACTTAGTCCAATGGTATGGACTACTGACTTGAAATCTGAAGGTTGTGGGTTCAATTCCAGGGTGGAAATGTTAGATTTTAAAACTTTATGTCTTTTTGGGTAAATTTAAACTTCATAGTTAATTTCGTAACCATTAAAAAGTGTGAAATTATGCTTAGTCCAATGGTATGGACTGCTGACTCTAATCTGAAGGTTGTGGGTTCAAATCCAGGTTGGAAATTTTAGATTTTAGATTTTATTTATTTTTGGGTAAATTGAAACTTCATAGTTAATATCGTAACATTTAAAAATTGTGAAATTACACTTAGTCCAATGGTATGGACTACTGACTCGGAATCTGAAGGTTGTGGGTTCAATTCCAGGGTGGGAATTTTAGATTTTAAAATTGTATTACTTTTTGGGGTAAATTAAAACATTATAGTTAATTTTGTAACCTTAAAAAATTGTGAAATTACACTTAGTCCAATGGTATGGACTACTGACTCTAAATCTGAAGGTTGTCGGTTCAAATCCAGGGTGGAAATTTTAGATTTTAAAATTTTATGTCTTTTAGGGTAAATTTAAATTTTATAGTTAATTTCGTAACCACAAAAAAGTGTGAAATTATGCTTAGTCCAATGGTATGGACTGCCGACTCTAAATCTGAAGGTTGTGGGTTCAAATCCAGGTTGGAAATTTTAGATTTTAGATTATTTTTTTTTGGGTAAATTGAAACTTCATAGTTAATATCGTAACATTTAAAATTGTGAAATTACACTTAGTCCAATGGTATGGACTACTGACTCGAAATCTGAAGGTTGTGGGTTCAATTCCAGGGTGGGAATTTTAGATTTTAAAATTGTATTACTTTTTTGGGTAAATTAAAACATTATAGTTAATTTCGTAACCTTTAAAAAGTGTGAAATTAGGCTTAGTCCAATGGTATGGACTACCGACTCGAAATCTGAAGGTTGCGGGTTCAATTCCAGGCGGGGAATTTTAGATTTTAAAATTTAGTTCTTTGTGGGTAAATTTAAACTTGATAGTTAATTTTGTAACCACTAAAAAGTGTGAAATTATGCTTAGTCCAATGGTACGGACGGCTGACTTGAAATCTGAAGGTTGTGGGTTCAAATCCAGGGGTGGAGTTTTGGTTTTTGAAATTGTATGTCTTTTGGGGTAAATTTAACTTCATAGTTAATTTCGTAACCACTAAAAAGTGTGAAATTATGCTTAGTCCAATGGTATGGACTGCTGACTTGAAATCTGGAGGTTGTGGGTTCAATTCCAGGGTGGGAATTTTAGATTTTAAAATTGTATTACTTTTTGGGGTAAATTAAATCATTATAGTTAATTTCGTAACCTTTAAAAAGTGTGAAATTATGCTTAGTCCAATGGTATGGACTGCTGACTCTAAATCTGAAGGTTGTGGGTTCAATTCCAGGGTGGGAATTTTAGATTTTAAAATTTTATTACTTTTTTGGGTAAATTAAATCATTATAGTTAATTTTGTAACCTTTAAAAATTGTGAAATTACACTTAGTCCAATGGTATGGACTACCGACTCTGAAGGTTGTGGGTTCAAATCCAGGGTGGAAATATTAGATTTTAAAATTTTATGTCTTTTTGGGCAAATTTAAACTTCATAGTTAATTTCGTAACCACTAAAAAATGTGAAATTATGCTTTGTCCAATGGTATGGACTGCTGACTCTAAATCTGAAGGTTGCGGGTTCAAATCCAGGTTGGAAATTTTAGATTTTAGATTTTATTTATTTTTGGGTAAATTGAAACTTCATAGTTAATATCGTAACATTTAAAAGTTGTGAAATTACACTTAGTCCAATGGTATGGACTACTGACTCGAAATCTGAAGGTTGTGGGTTCAATTCCAGGGTGGGAATTTTAGATTTTAAAATTTTATTACTTTTTTGGGTAAATTAAAACATTATAGTTAATTTCGTAACCTTTAAAAAGTGTGAAATTAGGCTTAGTCCAATGGTATGGACTAAATTTAAACTTGATAGTTAATTTTGTAACCACTAAAAAGTGTGAAATTATGCTTAGTCCAATGGTACGGACGGCTGACTTGAAATCTGAAGGTTGTGGGTTCAAATCCAGGTTGGAAATTTTAGATTTTAGATTTTATTTATTTTTGGGTAAATTGAAACTTCATAGTTAATATCGTAACATTTAAAAATCATGAAATTACACTTAGTCCAATGGTATGGACTACTGCCTTGAAATCTGAAGGTTGTGGGTTCAATTCCAGGGTGGGAATTTTAGATTTTAAAATTGTATTACTTTTTTGGGTAAATTAAAACATTATAGTTAATTTCGTAACCTTTAAAAAGTGTGAAATTAGGCTTAGTCCAATGGTATGGACTACCGACTCGAAATCTGAAGGTTGCGGGTTCAATTCCAGGGGGGGAATTTTAGATTTTAAACTTTAGTTCTTTTTGGGTAAATTTAAACTTGATAGTTAATTTTGTAACCACTAAAAAGTGTGAAATTATGCTTAGTCCAATGGTACGGACGGGTGACTTGAAATCTGAAGGTTGTGGGTTCAAATCCAGGTGTGGAGTTTTGGTTTTTGAAATTTTATGTCTTTTGGGGTAAATTTAACTTCATAGTTAATTTCGTAACCACTAAAAATTGTGAAATTATGCTTAGTCCAATGGTATGGACTGCTGACTTGAAATCTGAAGGTTGTGGGTTCAAATCCAGGGTGGGAATTTTAGATTTCAAAATTTTACTACTTTTTAGGTCAATTGAAACTTTACAGTTAATTTTGTAACCACAAAATAGTGTGAAGTTGTGCTTAATCAAGTAATACGGACTGATGACCCTAAATCTGAACTTCTGAAGGTTGCTGGTTCAAGTCCCACAGTTTGAGTTTTAGATTTTAAAATTTTATTAATAATGAGGTCAATTGAAATTTATATTTTTTTCAAGTTTGAAACCAGTCCACACTTCTAGTCTAGCAAAAGCCAAAAAGTAAAAAAGCAAATACTTTTAGCTTGAAGCAAATAGTGAAAGCATTTGCTCCCATTTTTATTCATGCAAATAAAAGTTATGCTTAAAAATATGTAGTAAAAAAAAAAGCAAATGCTAGTTTTTATACATACGACCAAATGTTTCAATATTAATCATAATTGCATCGTTTATGTTTCAGTAATAGATTTGAGGACCTACATGGATCTGTTTGGAACGACGCCCATTCACTGAGCGGATTCGGGATTGCCCATCGAGAACTCGAAAAGATAGGAGAGACCAAGGCCAGTTGCTTTGGTAAAATTTTTCATTCAGGTAAGACAAACTTCCATGAAGACTCAACTCATTAGTTCAAGTCCCCCCCCCCCCCCCAACTAAGCCCTCGGACAACACTGAGTGTACACTGTTTACAAAATATGTCCGGTTTTATTTAGTTAAGTGGCTTTCAGGCTGTTAGTTCTCCCACATTTTAATGGTGGTCCCTCATTTGACATGTTGTCATCAAACGTTCTTTTGTCAAAGCCATCGGGGCAGAATATTTTTGGCATGCTGTTGGAAAGAACCAATTTTCAACTTTTGTTCTTGTGAAAATCCTGTTGCGTGACATCACAGCCTGTGTTGTGATGTGAATGAGTTCTACCTGATTGATAAACGTGACCCGACTCAGAGGTGGCATGTCTTGATGACAGTCCCTCGCTTGTCAGTTGGTACAGAATGTCATTTGGTGACAAGTGAACGTCCTTATCCAAAGGCAAGGAGTCATGTCCCACAGTATCTCCGGGGTTATCCACGATGTTGCCGACGGCTCCGAATCCTCCTCAGACGTTATCGTCATGACGACTGTCTGCTCCATGTTCCCAAGGGTGCCCTCCGAGGACGACATCATGGCCATGTGTGAGATGTCCTGTGATTGGTCAGCCAGGTCTGGTACCAAGACTGTAGATTCAGCTGCAGATTCCTCGGGGCTGATTTGGATAATGCGCAGGCCTGAGTGTACAGCCGTAGCTGTGCTAGATGGTGGTGCAGCAGCTGGGTGTGCTCCTCAGACATGTGTTGCAGTAACTCTTGCAAAATGGACTGGTTCTCGCTGTCGTTGGTTAGATGTTTCAAACTGGACGTGTGAATCATGGACAGCTGCTGCTTGAGTGATATGTTTGTGTTGGACAAATACTCAACCTGGAGGGCAAGACGGATGGGCAGAGAAATTATTTGTTTACAGATGGAATTTTAATAGACCAATCCATTAGGCTCTGCCTCATGATGTGTAACCAATCACAACCATGACAGCGCACACCAAAGTCTGACATTTATGCACTTCATGATGTGTGCAGTTGGAGCATGAATGCTTAAGAAGGCACATGTGTTGTTACCCAGTTATTTAGTGCAACTAGAGTTTGAGTGAAACCACGAATCCTCTACACAAGGATAAACGACACATCTGAGCTTGTGTACAAAATGTGTGCAACAATTTGTCTGCATTTATCATAAGCAGCGTCAGCACATAAAACAACGTAGAACGTGTAAAAAATGTAGAGCAATGACAACAACAGTGCACACCATGATCGCCCACAGCCATGACAGCTGGCATCCTGACAGGAATCTGACCACTGAAAGAACGCAGTCGCATTAGTGTGCCTGCATTAGTTCTGATCAAGGTATGTCCCCCCTCCCACTTTTGAGAAGCGATTGACGCCCTTGGTACCTGTTGCATGCAGGGAACAAGATCCAAACTCATTCTTAGACCAAGACCAGATGGAATGCCCACTCACCTTTGTACGAAGCCTTTCTATAGTACCTTTCATTCTGTGCTCTGTCTGGGCCCACGTGGTCCGCTCCTCCTCAAGAGTCTTCTCCAGACTTTCCTTCTCCTGCAGCAGCAGCGACAAGTTGTGCTCTGTGTAGCAAGTCTCGTCCTCCAAATCCTCTTTGCTTCCTTCGTCTGGTATCTCAATAAGGACAACTGTTTACGAGAGGGAAAGGTTGAGTAATTATCCTGAATAATGATTCCTGTAATAATGAAAGTCGGTCATCAAAAGGTCACTCCAGGTGTGGGCTACACAAAGAGGGGAAATGATGGGAGGAGTTTATGGAGTAGAAAGGTCGACATATATGTTGCGCTTGAATGGGACAGATGATATGTAGCGGTAAAAACAGGATACAGGCAAGAAAGTCCAAAGTGATGCAGTGTGTCAAGAACATGTAATTCCTTGTAACTGGGTGCAAGCAATCACTCACTTTTTCAAACCGTATTCCTAACATTAGGTGGGCAAGGTGAAGGACAAATGCCAATATTTAATTAATTGTTGAAGTCAGCTCTCAAAATGTACTGCCACCCTGACTTATTAGATTTTTTTTGTTGCTTAGAACCTTCCTGAATCCTCCAAAATTCAATCAACTTAAATAACGCCAATGGCACACCCTTTGCACCTTGTAATTTCAATTTGTAAAATCCACTGTCAATATTGGCCCTCATCCACCCCAACCCCCTAAAAAAATGCTGAACTTTTGGTTGTTGTTTTATTTATTTTATTGACCAAACAAGTGCAGGAGTGAAGACAACTGTATTAAACATGCTGTTGTCTACCCATTCCCTTCTTCCATATGGATTCACGATATATCAATTGAAAACAAAGTGGGGGGGGGGGGGGGGGGGGGGGGGAAGAGTTCTTCCTTGCATCAAATGCCTCCCCCTTGGCTTTTTGGTCAGCTTCTTCTAATTATCCTTCACTGCTGGTGGCATTATCCACCTTAACCTCTGCGTAGATGCTGAAGGATTCTTGGAGGGTCAGGGTTAATATTCTTACCATCTTACCTTCCCCATTGGCAGTGCTCTGACTCGGATCATTGATGCAGGCATATTGGTACTCGATCTGCGGCTGCTGCCCATCAGTCTGCTCATAGCCCCGGGGATGATGTGTCTGTCTCCGATGGCTGCTGTGACTGGGGGACTATGAGGTGTGTTACCAGGCTGGTACTGTTGGGTGCTGGGTCAGTGTATGTGGTGAAGATCTGGTTGACATCCTGGTTAAAAATGGTGGAGTGCAGTCGTTAAGGTTGATAAAATGAGACTTAAACCTGTAAGGTAGCAAAAGATTCAATTTACGACACAAACATACAGTGATAAAATTAGGTTCACAATTAATTATTTTAAAAGGCACGAAGTGTTGGCATTTGACATAATCCACCCAAATCCTTGTAGAACTACCACACCTGCTCACAAGGTACATAAATTTCAACTGATTAAATTTATTCCATGGTTTTTTTTTCATGCAGATTGTACAAGGGGACCATTACATCACAGCAACGGCATACTCAGTTGTCTTGAAGCAGCACTGAAACTGTGAAGGTTAAAAATAAGTGCGCTTTCAAACACTTAAACCAAAAAGGTGTGTCTAATCATTCTCAAAAGAATGGATACTTGAGTCAAAACTTTTCGGTAAAAAAAACCCCAGATTTTGTTCAACAAGTTCACTTCATGCTTTTTTGAAACACCCCTCTACAGGGAGTTTATCGAACACTGATATCTGCTAAGAATAACCAGCCCAGGTATCTATCAATTTCATAAAACTCCCACAAATGCCACTACCTTGTCCTGCTGTCCACTACCTTCAACTTATCTTTATAATTAACCCTAACCCTGCCACATGCAGCACAGTGCGCATCAGTTGGAAAAGTCTGGTGCACTTGGTCTTGTTCCCAAACTCACCCCCAATGTTGATGCCTTTATCCACGTACTTGACCCTGTACGTAGTGCGCCTTGAGGAGAATCTCCTCAGTGAAGAGACTGTCCTGGGAGCAGAATGGACAGTGCAGATGCGGAGCCTTCATCAAGGAGTGGCTACACTCCCTGTCTGTGCATTGTATGGGCGTCCAGTCTGCCTCAGCGCCTTTCGTCTGCACTGATGGATGCGCCTACAGTTGCGAAAAAAACAATTGAGAAAAACTGTCAAGTTAACATGTATGATGTCAAAAAAATGTTATAAAATGGCTACGCCAATGAAATCAGTAGAAATCTCATTTTCTACTCAAATCCAAATCTTCACAGCAGTTTTCAAAGTGGCAGTTCATAAAAACCAGGCATAAAACATTTAACAAAGAAACCACTCGCAGATGGGATCTCTTTTGAGGCGGTGGAAGAGGTTTTAGAAGGCTTTCTTGAAGAGCCAACAGTCACCTCGGAAAGAATGTTGCAACCTGACGCTACTTCTGCAGTTGTGTACAAAGTCTATGGAGAGTCCGAATTTTTTTAAGTATTTCCTAACAAAATTGGAAATGTTTCTCAGTCCAAGATTCATGTCTTATCAATATATCATCATTTTTGCAATTACTGACCTTCATTGAGATGATATACGAAGGAAAAAGCAGCGTTAGGTGGCAACATTCCGTCACCTCTGATGCTGAACCAACACGAGGTAGTGATGTAGAAAAACATTGACCATTTTTTGCGCACTTAGTACTTGGACCAATTTTTTTCTTGCATAAACTAAATCCTACACAGTTGTGGACTTTAACATTGAAAGAATGACTAATATTAACTACATTGAAAAATAATTTGAACAATATCGAACGTCAAGGAAGCACCAAGAACGTCATCGACTGCAGATGAGTCAAATTGGCTGCCACAAAAGTCTCCATTGTGTCCTACTTCTTAAACCAATGTGGATTTGTCATCCGACATTGTTATTAAATGCGCGTTTGTTTATATATCAAATAAATGAATTTCTTTCCATTTTGGTAAAAACAACTGCATGCATAATATTTAAAATCATATCATAATTGAAAATAGGAGGTAAATAAAATAAATCCACAAATATTATAATATACTTTTGTCGAAAGTCTAAGAAGCTTAGTTAAATCCTATGCATGGAAAGAGTTCCGAGAATGTTTTGCTGAAAATCATCCGTGTGCCAATTACATAACATTTTACAAATGTATACAGATTCTCCCAAAATAGAAACATTTGCAATATAACTTTAGTATGCCGTTGCTATATTTTTAAAGTTTAGTCGGACTCCCTATTATCGCAGCATCCCTATTATCGTGGAATGGGAAATTTCTCTTTTTGTGTTGCCAAAACTCCTTCAAGTGGCGATTTTTATCCAGTTCACCAGGCATTAAGGACTTTCTGCCGAGTTGTATAAAAAGGATGATTAAAAAATGTTGTGTCTTTTTAGTTTTGTTTTGACTACTTTAGGTATCTTAATTATTTGTGAGTTGTTGCTTCACCACTGTAGCAAACCAGGTTGGCAGTGAAATGCAGTAATAATAGGTGAGCTACAGTGACGCTGTGTTTAATCAATTTAAATTTTTCGGCAGTCTTTTTTTATTATTCTTTACTTCGTGTGAAACAAATATCAACCTCATTTATATTTCATAGGTAAAAATACTGTCCAAAGTATCTCAACAGTTTTTAGACAAAAGTCTGTTAATAATTATTTCTATTGGCAAAGTTATAGCCACAAAAAACATTTCATTTAGTGTTTACTTATACATATGCACCCGTCACTGGAAACATTTAAAGGGAATGTACATCATTGGGTTTTGCTGTAATTTTCAGAAATGAATTATTTGAGGGGTTAGTATAATAGATCAAATATTGTTACACTGACATGTTTGTAGTTTTGTGTTCGAAAATGCTGGGAAAAATCAAGAAACACAAAAATGTTCAAGTAGTCTGGTTCCCTGACTCCACTAAAGATGAAATGTATCAATTTATAGATGCCGGAAAATTGTAAGGTGAGGGAACCAGTCTAGTTGACCTGCACCCGTTCATGAACATGTAACCAATAGCAAACAAAATTTGGTCTGAACAAATGGTAAATTTGGCGCAGTAGTTAAAATAGTTAGGTTTTTCCAACGGTGGTCGGCCGACCACCGTTGGAAATGTATACAAAAATACCACTTTTCTTGAAAATGACTTCACACCAGGTGCCATAATTTTACAGGATGCTTTACACTGTCATTTACTAACAGTAACAGCCTAGTAAGGTATTTCGTAAAAACTGGGTAGTTATATTTTTCGATGTTTGCAAATGTTGTATATTCCCTTTAAGCATATAGTTCCCTCCAGCATTCGAAGTAGAATTCAATATTTTGTGTCGCTCCTGTACGGTGGGGTTCAACACTGCTATATTATTACTTTTTTATTAGTATAGATATAGGCCTAGTTTGATGCTCCCGGGGATTTGTAAAATGTCCAACATAATATTTGCACATAGCCCCTCTCTAGCTCTATTGACGCTCCTTCGACTTTCATTACCTTGGTGAAGAGCCACTCAAACTGGTCAAGGGGAAAAACTGAAAAACTAGTGTTCAGCGTAAACAGCTTATTTATTTCCCTTAAAGCCATTTCTCCCTGTGGAAACTTACTTGAGTTGCGTAAACAGCGCCGGCCTAGCCCTCCAGAAAAAAAGAAAACATGGGTTTAAAGAGTTTTTAAAAATTCGATTCATTCCCAGCTGCGGCTTCGTCTACTATAAAAATTTAAGAAGATTATGAAATTTCCACACAGCTACCCAGAAAGCGTGAGTTGTCAAATAATAATAGACAAATAAATATTGTTGAGCTTCCGTTATGGAAGACGTATGCGTCTCGTTAAAAAAAAGGATACCAGTTCAATATATGAAGCTGAAGCAGTAGGGACCTGCGATGGAGGCCGATGTTTCGAAAGAGCTTGCATGCCAATCGAACGACACATGAGGGCAGCATTCAACAACATAAACACGCGACTGTAAATCTGGCGCTATCTTCCGAGTGGCCGAAACCTGTTGCCTGTGTCACTTTCTTGGTCAGTATCAGTAGATAATTTTATCTAACCATTTAATAAATGATAACATTAATTTAGTTGTTAATATTAGCTATTGGTGAAATCTGCATTATTTTATTTAGTGAAACTGAAACGTACTGCAAAAAGTGGCCATATCGGACATGATACTAATTGAGTTTGATAGACGTACTGCGTTTATTATTTGTATTCAATAGCGTGGTATCTCATTCGTGAAAAGTTTGAGATGCTTAATTAACAATAACAATTAACATTAAAGGAAAGATTCCCGTATCTGGCCATCACTTGCCACCCTGTGCACAAACCCTTTGAGACTGGTCTGAAAATTGTTGTGTTTTCTCAGTTGAGTTAGCTGGAGTTACCCAGCACCCAATTGGGTATCATTGGGTTGTCATCTAGATGACAACCCAATGATAAAATTTAGGGCTGGGTAACTCCAGCTACAGTTGAGTTAATACTTCGGCCATCGTGAAGTGCAGGGCCCGGTTCCTATAACTTGGGGAACAAAATCCACTTAAAAATTATTTGACCTACCATAATAGTTTGCAACATTCTCAATAAACAGGTTTGTCATAGATAGAGGGCAGGGTTTTGATGTTTTGAGGGGAAATTTGGGGGTAAAATGACAATGACGGCGCGGCGACAACATGCGACCCGAAAATTAAGATGGCAATCACCGCGCGATGTTCCGTGAGCATGCAAGGCGCGCTGAATCCCAAGGTACAAACCGCGCAGGAAAACCGTGATTTCTACCCCAAGAATCTGTTCAAAATTGTAAAATGGGTGTTATTAGAATTGAGAAAAGGATGCTTTTGATTGTAAAGGTGAGTTTTGAGCAATAAAAAACATTTTTGATTCTAATTTGATCAAAACAAAACGGGGGCCCTACACTTCACGATCGCCGTAATTTTTCCCTTAAATGACCTATCAGCCATCAGAAAATGATATGTCCTAAAAAGTCAAAATTAGCAGGGACAAATTTTGACCCCTCCCCCTAGATATCCCACTGGTCATGGCTTTCAATAGTATACAACTGCTTTATGTGCAGTTTCTTTATATTTCCAGTGTGTTTTTGGTCCAACGTAATAACACCAAAATGGATGAGAAGCAGGGACCAACTTCTGATGATGTCCCAACTGGGGAGGTAACGTCAACCACAGTTACAGAGGGTGATGTTGTCAAGATGCCAACAGATGTGGCCATCACTATGGATGCTATTCCCAATGAAGATGAGGAGGACAAATCCAAAGGTGACTTGTTATTCTTTTACTTGGTGAGGACATTTGCTCCTTTGCCAGGTCAGCTAAGTGTAATCTCATTCATGTTATTTTGTCCATTCTTGCTTATTGGAAACTTAATACTTTAACCCAGTGAAATTAATTTTGCTGCAAGATAGTTTTGTTGCTTTCCAGGTAATTTTTATAAATTGGGGGAATGAGGGTTCAATTTCATAAAAAAAATGCACCTTTACTTGGTACTTGGTGGTTATCCTGAATACTCCACGTGGAAGTCTAGCAAGGAGGCCTTGGGGAAGTGGAACTAAATTAAATCCTTAAAGGTGTTGTGGTTTGGGGCGTCTGTGGTGTCTTGAGGGAGCTTGTTCCATTTCCGGATAGTTCTGGGTAGGAATGACTGCATATAGATGTCTGTCCTTGCTGCAATTTCTGTGAACTGGTGGTTGTGAATTCTATGAGCCGGTGCTGGTTTGGGGACTATGGATGATGAGTTCATGTGAACTATGTTGTGTATTATTTTAGTAGGTAAGTAGGTAAGTTGGTTAACTTTCCTTCTCTCTTCCAGTGAAAACCAGCCTAGGGTTGTCAACATGTTGGTCACACTGCTCAGTCTGGAATAATCTTGCACTGTTACGAAACGAGCAGCCCTCATCAGTTGCACTTTTTCCAGGGATGTTATGTTCTTAGCTATGTGAGGGTTCCAAGCAATGCTGCCATATTCTAGGTGTGGTCTGACTACTGCTAAGTACAGCTTTTCTTTGACTGATCTGGATGCAGAATGAAAATTTATTTTGATGAAGTTCAATATACAACTTGCTTTGGAAGTGGCATGTGCTGTTTGGTGATTCCAACTTGGGTTGTTCTGAATGATTATTCCCAAATATGTGATGTTGGTTTTCTCTACGAGGTTGGATCCTAACATGGTGTAGTTAGTTTTGCCGGGGGCCCGCTTCCCGGAGATTCGCATGATGTTACATTTGCTGGAGTTAAATTTCATTCCCCAGGTTTGCGCCCAGTGAGCCAAGTTGTCCAGGTCTTTTTGGAACATCAGTTCATCAGTTGATGAGCAGATCTTCCGATATAACAGGCAGTCGTCAGCGAAAAGGAGAGTTGTGCCAGTCACTGATTTGCTAATGTCATCGATGAAAAGTAAAAACCAATGGGGGCCAAGCACGGTGCCTTGTGGTATGCCACTGTCGACACTTTGCCATTTCAAAGATTTTCCATTTACCACAACTCTTTGTGACCTGTTGGTTAAGAATTCCCTGATCCATCTCTGTGTTTTTCCCCTTATCCCATTCATTCAATCGTTAGAGATAGGCATTTGCCCGTGGTCTCTTCCTCAAATTATACACAGTTGGGATCACTGGCGCCGCTCCCACCACAGCCCGTCTTTCCAGTGCTGCTGCTTTCAGTTCGTTGGTGTCACACCCAGACCATTCAGGGATGTTGTCCACCCAGCGCATCTTTGGCCGGCCCACGGAGCGACGACATCCCACTGGCATCCCATCCACAACAGCTGCCGCCATGCCGAACCACATGGCCCAACCATGCTGCCTTTCGTTCCATCACTGCTGAAGCACCACCGGTCACCGATCATCTCCATCAGTCTTTCATTTGTCACATGATCTTGCCACTTGATGTTGAGCAGGTGACGCCAAATGGTTCGGCTAAAATTGTCTAGGCGTTTGATGTCAGCTGCCTTCAACGACAGGGTGGTGGCACCATACAGTACCCTTGATATGACTAGGGCCCGAGCAAGCTGTACCTTTACCTCAAGGCTGACGCGGGGAGAGCGCAGATACTTGCACTGCCGAAGAGTGGATCTGCCCATACCTAACCGCATCCGAACCTCCTTGCTGTCGTCTATTGTGTGGTCGATCAACACTCCTAGATACTTGAAAGATGTGACACGAGGTATTTGTGCCGAGCGGTATGTGATGGTGCTGTCATCGGTTGTTGGCTGGATGATCATATATGCAGTCTTACCAGGGTGGATGGCTAACCCATACCCGTCAGATATATCACCCAGGGTAGTAAGCATCTCTTCAGCATCAGCTCTGCACAGTGCCATCAGTACCAGGTCATCAGCATATCTGATCTCCTTTAGGGGGATACCACTGACATCTGGAGCCGTTAGGTGTGCTGTGCGATTGTACCACTCTCGCATGAGACACTCAGTGTAGAGGCTGAAGAGTGTTGGTGACAATGGACAGCCTTGGCGTACTCCGACTGGTGTCTCAAACTCGTCTGCCATCCGACCTTTCCACCAGAGCTTGCCATTTGAGTTGATGTAAAGATCCTCAAGTAGCCGCATCACATCCTCCTCCACGCCAAGATATCGTAGCTTTGCAAACAGAAGTGCATGATTAACTGAATCAAATGCCTTCTTATAGTCAACAAAGACCAGATGGAGAGGGCGTTTTCCTGCGTAGTGCCATTCCCCCACACCTTTCAGGAGGTAGATTCCATCAGTTGTGCTTTTACCGCTTACAAAGCCACATTGGGTGTCACTCACTTCGATGTTAGCAGTTCTTTCCAGTCTGCATTGTATCACATTCAGAACAATTTTGCTGGCATGACTGATTAGTGCAAGTGTTCTGTAGTTGTTGCACAAGCCTCGGTCACTCTTTTTGTGCAACGGGATGTACACTGACTTGGTCATCGACTGTGGCCACTTTCCAGAGTTCCAGATGTTACACACGGCCCCATGAAGGGTTTTGAATATCTCTGGGTCCTGTGTCGCAGCTTTAAGAGCTTCAGATGTGACGCAATCAACTCCGGGAGCCTTGTGGTTTTTCAGTGCCTGTATGGCTTTCTTGGTCTCTTCCGGTGACGGCGGGTTTCGTTCAACCTCAGTTGTGTGATGGGGTGGACGTGGCCGATTGGACTCAAATAGATCTACAGCATACTGATGCCAACGCTGTATTTCTTCTTCAGCTGTCTCCAATACCAGACCATTTGCATCTTTGATGTTCACCACAGGCGTACATGTTTTCTGAAGGAGAACATCAGCAGTTTTGAACATAGTTCTGCAATTGTGTTTCTGGTATGCTTGGTTCAATGTGTTGATATTAGTTAACAACCATTCGTTGAGATCTTTCTGGCATGCATGTTTGACCTCATTCCTCAGAGCTGTGAATTCTTGAGTGCCTACAGTACCGATCATTGTAAACCTACCACCGGTTAACGGTAACCAATGGTTACCTATAATCCTCCCGATAATCTCGTTGCGTTTGGACGAAAGGCCGCAAAACGGCATGCTTATCCGATTGGTAAACAGTCTGCCGTCAGGCTAAGGTTGTAAACTTCCTGCCTTCGTTCATGGATTCTATAAACAACGTTCCCTCCTGCAGCAGCCTACACATCGTTTTATTGTTCCAGTACACGCACTTGTGGTTAGATAATGCAGTCGTAAAATCCTTGAGTCAATTATCTGCTATCATGTATCAACTTTTGACCACGATCTTTCCAGCTGCAAGAAGGCATGCTGACCGATGTATGGTGCAAGTACCTCCAAGGCCGCTTATCATCAAAGATATATACAATGTATAAGTTTTGAAGTTCGCCTGTCAATCAT